ATTCCCAAACAACAATCATGAGCCAGTTTTCAACTCCAAAACAAACTTACACACGCAACCCAGAGGGGAGGACGATGTTGTATAAGAAGTGTTTCAGGGTTTACACGAGGAAAGACAAGGACGGCTTCAGTTTAGCAAATACACACATGGTTAAATTTCACACTTTTGCTGAAGAGCAGGGAACAACTGCTTCCTTATGTCAGAATACGTCCGGCGCTGTTGCTCACAAAGTAGATGAGGCAAGCGAGACGAAAGCAGAAACTATTTATCTATGTATTTTGTCAGTCAGCGAGAAATTGAATCAGCAACTGTTTTGTTTTCGACATCGATTTGTCGTTTGAGTAATTTCTCAGTGAATATGTCAAACATTCAATCCCTCCTGCTTCTCAGTTGTGAGGTTTTGGGCTTTTGTTGGTCTGCATGTTTTGGGTTTTGGACTACTGTTTAGACAAAGCAAACAATTTAAAGACATTATACGGTTTTTAACTCAAAAAATAATCTGCAGATTGACTGAAGATGAAAATAATCTACATTTTTCACCCTAGATGACACAGTTCCAAACATCACCTACAAAATACCGCAAAACAGTGTCACTTATTTAGGCGTAACTATTTAAAATTCACAAATACAGATACTTGGTTTTGTGTGGAGCTGCGTAGAGGATGCTGTTTGTTTCCTATGAACTGTTGTTAAAACTTTATAAGTGGCATTACAACTTTTACTGCTTTCATTATTGACTTTGTGCTTGTTCTTCGTACTCTTAAGCAAAACAGTGTATTTTTAAGATGATCTATGTCTTCGTAAATGTCTCATTGATGATCTTGACATGACTTTGAAAACCACCGGTGAGACGCTGACTCATAAAGACGTACATCCACCAAAGTCACATTGACTGTTTCAAAGCTGTATTAGTCATGATTTAGTGCCTGGCTTGTACCATGGGAAAAGACACAGTGGACTTACAGAGGAATACACTTCGGTCTGTCTTATAATATGTTCCATATGTGGCATGAGAGAAATCCATTAGCATAACTCAGGGGGAGCAGGGTTTCAGTCTGAATAGCAGGTCTCAAGGCGGGGAACTTATTACTACGATGTTATGCTAATGAGACTTTAATGACTCCTCTTAGATGGAATCCACTGTTTCTTAGCAGCAGCCGTCTGTCTAAAAGTTAATTTCAGCTCATTTTAATTTGAAGTTCTTCACTTTTGACATCTGACTCAATCTTGAAGAATATATAAGTGTGACAGTAATCACAGTTGCAGCTTGAAATCCACTTTAAGGCTCTATGAAATGATATTCCAGTCGATGTCAGCTCTAGGGTTGCAACCAGAGAAGTTTGTGAAATGCTACCACATGATCGTATTTTGTCATCGCTGCTCTTCTCCACAGATGGAGGACAACTTATTGGAAGTGTGGAACAAAACAGGGAATCAGGGGAATAAGTGGAACCAAGCAGAGGTCCCCCTGAGGAAACTCAGGAACTTCGAGGTGATATTTGAGGGGATTCGCTCGAGGGACGTGAGCGGAGGAGCCGCCCTGGACGACCTGGAGTTCATAGACTGTGCTCCAAGTAGGTGACATATAAACACAGTATGCAAACAACATTATCAGTCAGTTCCTTTCACATCTGTTTAGTGGTACATCTGGATAGGAGAGCTGAACACAAGGTAGTGCAGCAGATTTTCCCCAGATTCTCTGGGCTCTAGGAACAGCCATGTTGGTTTGTTGAGCTGTTAGCCAAGAAAATATTTGAACTATCATTGAACTGACTGGTTACAAATTTAGTGCAGATATTCATGATACTTAATAGATGAAGTCTGTAAATTTCTCTTGGAGATGAATAAAGTATCTATCTATCTATCTATCTATCTATCTTATCCTCTTTTTAATCAGGTCAATATTTAATGCATATGCAACGACAATACAATTTAATATAATGTAATAGCTTTTATTTTTTCACATAAATGAAATTAAATTAAAAAGTGCTTCATGTCACAGAACCAGGATTAAAACTTAAGACTGCAATGAGGCAAAAATATAAAATGAGAACAAAATTGAGGTGGACCAATAAAACAGGTGCGATATGTTGAGAACAGCATGCTGGCATTAATGAAAAGTAGAAGTGAATTTCAGATCCTCAGCCTGAAAGTTTGAGCAATGTGTGTTTAGAGTTAGGGTTAAACAGTTCACTCTGGTTTAGTCAAGTTTACTTCTCTTTTTCACAGTACTTTTTATTTACATAGTACTTTTATACTTTTTTTTTAACATATAATATTTTATTTAGAATTTTTTTAGATTTAGATTTCTGTATTTATTGCCTGTGTTATTGTTTACCACAGTTTCATTCACCACGTCAAATTCCTTGTGTGTGCAAGCTCACTTGGCAATAAAAGCTTTCTGTATTCTGTTTAGAGCTAACTCGCTTAACTAGGATGGTAAACGTGGCAGACATTACCTTTGCTAAGCTTTAGCATGTTAGTATCGTCATTGTTAGAATGCTGGCGGCGCTGCTAGTATGCTTCTAGACTTGTTTTATGATAAAATGATGTAGCAAAAGGCCACACGAAAGACTTTTTCAAGATTTTATGTTCTGGAATATAGCTGTTTTCTTGGTGAACAAGGCGGATAACTACTATTATAGTGGACACAATAAGCTACACAAAAGATTCACAAATTCAAAGGGAATTGCAGCCACACTGACTGAAACCTACACCCTCCTCTGTGGTACATCTTTTACAACAAAGTCCCTTCATTCACAGCAGAGACAAGTCAGGTAGAGACGAGAACCAACCAACAAAAATGAATAATGCGCCATCATAAAAAGGGCACCTTTCATCTATGACCATTTCTGGGCCATTAAAATGCAGGCACTGTAGGTGAGCTGAGTAGATGCGCAGGGTCTTGAAATTTCATTGTCCAAAGTCGAGCAGCGGAGAGGAAAGTTTTTTAAAGGCAGAAGTCTCACCACCTGGCAAAGTAATCACAGACACTCTGGTATTCAGCAAACCTCCACACATATATTATAGTCGCTTTGTGCACAGTGGCAGCACAAATCTTCCTTATTGCTTCTTTACTTTAAAAGTAACCTTTAATTCAACCCAACTTTGAAAAGTTTAAGGAAAAAGAATCGGTGTTATTCACTCATTTTCTGTTCATACCATTCTAACTTTGGCTCAGAAGTCTAAAGAATATCCTTAATCTTGTCTTTCAAGATCGTTGAACCCATGAATCAATCTCTTTGTAAATGCGGGATTAAAGAATAGTAATGAATGATGTAAACCCTGACCAATTCTGTGTGTCTCTGAGCACCCGGATAACTAATTACAGCAGTGAAAGTGGCCTAGAAAATAAAAAAAGAGCTCAGCCCCTATTATATAATATGGATTAAGTGACATTAAATTTCTCTCTTGCCTTCCTCCGTCGCTGTATTATCAAAGTATTCTTCCAATAATCTCCACAAGTGAGATATAATTATGCTGTGAAATTATTTTATGATCTTTCCAACTGATAGTTCGCGCTATGAAATTGACTCACTCGCTGAGAAAAAGAAGGGCCGAGCGAGAGTCTTTGAAAGGAGGGACTTCGATTTTCTATGCGATGACAGCCGCTGACAGACGCCGTTTGATGTTTATGTCCGAGACAGATGTTCCACATTAAACAGGATGTGGCACAAGGCTGGACACCATGTGGGATGTTTTTTTTTTTTTCCTTCTGCCAAGTTCCTCCTCACCTCCAATGCACAAATATTAACACACTTAAATAGAGAGACATAAATACTAACCTACAGACAAGCGGAGACATAGCTGGAAAAAAAAAACCTCCTGAAAAGTAGACGAACTGTCTGTCCAAAACCAAATGACACACACTTCAATCAACTTTGAATGCATGCTAAAATGGATTTCCAGTTTATTCTATGATGGCTTTAACCCCGCTGACCTCCTCTTCATTTCAGCCATCATTTAACGTCTCTGCCTTTGAAGTCTAACGGCGCATCAACGCAGACACACATAATGTAGTTATATGTGCGCTGTCTCTGATCCACCTGATCTCTTTTCCTTCCTCTCTGTTCTGTCTCGAACAAGGCGGAGCTGGAGGAAGGAGGCTTTGATTTCCTCGACAGGCCTTTGTCTGCTTTTGTTTACTGTCGTCTCTGCTGCTCGTGTCCTTTGGTGCGCAGCCCAGGAAAGCTGTGTTCTAATAAAATACAGTTGTTCATCACAGCGTTTTGTCTAATTCTAGATTTAATTCATCTGGATAGAAAAGGAGGACATAGGTTCCTGGCTAATGAGCCAACCCCAAAGAAGATTAAATAAGATTAGCTGATGAAGAATAGAAGCAGGAATGATGATTGTTTACGCCTCAGATCTGTGTCTGTGTGTTTCTGTTTGTTGTAGATGCCGTGGATGCAGTTAGCTGTCCCGCAGTCACAGACTTTGTGTGTCACAGTGGCCACTGCATTGAGTCCCACCTGGTGTGCGACAACAAGGCCGACTGTGATGATGAATCAGATGAGATAGACTGCGGTGAGTAGAAAAGGGGAATAGCTTTCTTTGACACCGAGAGTGAATCTGTCTTATTACACAGCAGAAAGACTTCTCACTGTTTCCTTCCATCTTTCGATCTCGTAGACCACGTAATTGGCTCGCCAGGTGCCTGTGATTTCAACGTGGAAGACGACCAGTGGGAAGAGAGCTGCCAGCTTTCTCAAGACCCTGACGACGACTTTGATTGGAGGATCAGTCACAGGACTGAGACACCCGGAGCTGGACCACACACTGACCACAGCCCAGGTCTGTACCTGCTCTGCTGCCAGCCCTGTCTCATAGAAAATGTGTTTTTATACAAGTCCTCCAAGTTAAACTACAAAACACATCTTTTCTTACTGACCTCCACAACAACAATATCTTCTGCTTTGACACTCATCAGGACAATTTTGTTGGTCAGTGCCTTTACAAATGTGCTGGTTAATGTTTGGATAGGCACAAAAAAAATAGTTGGTTTCGGGAAAGACAATCATTTGGGTTCTAATAATTGTTTATTTAAGATTAAGGAATGTTCATCTTCATAGTTAAAAGAACTACTTGCTGGACTCATCATGGTCACAGTTAAAAAAACAAAAAAAACATGCTGACTGATTGAAAACTGAGCTGCACCAATTTTAGGATGATTGACTATTTTACTACAGTATTTTTTCTGATGTTGCCAAGCACCAACTACACTTGATTTATAAAGCGGTTTACAGATGAAGAGTATTCTGTCTGTTCTTCAGCTGGAGTTGACCAGAGTTAAGTCTGACTGGTCGTAAATAATTTAGTTTAAAGAATCTTTGATTTGAATTTTTGGCAGTTTTTTTGTTTATAAGAAGCCCAACAGACTGAAATCTTTTTTTTTCTAACTTCAAGTTTGGTTTTCTTCTTATTTTGTAGTGACTAGGTCTTTATTCTGCTTTCAAGGATACTCATTTCTCAAACTATTTCTTGCTTACCCCACTGTCCCATTTTCTTCTGAATTAGCAAATATCACATGCTACCAGGGTGTTCTTTCCTCGATCATGTTGAAGTCCCACATTGACCTGCTCAGCCACTCTGTCTCCATCCTTACATAGACTTCGTGTCACTTTAAAAGCACCATTTGACTTCCTCTGTTGCTCTTAGCAGACAAGAGTCCTACCTTATACACTGTGTACTTTACTTTCAAGTGACACAGAGAGTATAAGTATGCATGCAGTAAACGACTGCTGCTCCTGTCTCTTTTTAGGCTTGAGACGGCAAATACGTTTTGAGAGAAACATTAATATAATGAGAAAACTTTTTTTTTGATAAATGTTTCGGCCCAGTCGCAGAATGTTGATTTTAAGTGCATTTGCAAAATGATGGCTGACAGCACATTTAGTTTGCTCCCCCGACCATGTCTGCTTTTTAATACAGTACCCACTCGTAGGAACAGCATGATGATTAAAATATTTCATGGTTAAGTTTAGACACTCGCAGCATTTGCTTAATGTTGGGGAACCACCAACGTCTTGGTTTAGCATTGAAAAGTCAGCAGTAACTTGAAGCTCGAGACATGACTGCTTCATTTAAGAAACATTCAACCAAAGCCACGATCTCTCCCAAACCTCAACCAAAGTGCTTTCGTTGCCTGAAACCAAACAAATGCCAGACTCAGAATGCAAAATCCTGCTTTAGGTGTCAAAGTCCTGCACTCGGATTGACCCACCATCCACCCTGACCACCTCCCTGCATGCATGGAGCAATTACCTTTGGTACAGTTGAGATACTTAAGAGTTTGAGCGACCTGTGACGTCGTCCTCGCGACAGAATGAGCAAACACAGCTGTAATTTTGGGCCGAGGGTCTTTCTTGTGCTCCGTGCTTGTGTTTGCTTTCTTCCTTGTTTTTCAGCGAAACATTAATAATGCTGTCAAGAAAACCAATTTCTTAAAATTAAGAACAAACAACTTGTGCATCCTCCTGACATCTTCCGTGTTTTCAGCTCTCAGGCAGCTCAGTGCAGCGCCTTTGTAATTACAACCTGACAGCCGGGAAATAGGAGCTTTCGACAGGCATGTGAAGGCAGGGTTAATAATACATCCTGATCAATGTCACTCTGAGTCAAACTGAGCTTAACAGCATTGGACTTGTTGTTTATTGTGCATACAGCGATGCAGATTTATTAAATGTTTTTTCTGCTGATTAATTAAAAAAATAATGGCACTAAGGGCTATAATTACCCTCATCTATGAAAGGCAATGCAAACCTTGATTTCCATGTGACTCTGCCTGTAATTTGCATTCATTAATTACTCTATTGTCTTCTGTCTGTTGATGCCCCTTCCTTTGCAATAAGGAATAATAATTGTTGATTACTGTTTTCAGCTTCGGTAAATTTGAGGGTTCGCTTCTTTCTCTGTTTTATATCATCGTGAAAGGAACATTTTTCGAGGCTGGAGTGTTGAAGACATCGCATTCGGACCAAAGAGACTGTGAAGCTCGACTTAACCTTCTGATCCCCAAACAGTTTCTGGGAGTGTTTTTGCTGCTGTCACATTTTTACTAACTGTGGACCTACTTTCACTGCAGTATAAAGTCCTGCACCTCTATTTAAACAACACAATCATGACTAGATGAAGGGAGAACTCAAGTGTAACGTTTTCCAAGTGTCCACATCTGTTGACAGCACTAGACAAAGTGGTGCAACTCAGCCAAAAAGTCCTTACATTTTTTTGTTATGTGACTGTTGGCCATGGCTGAGTCACTAACAGCTTCTCAACCACACCAATGAATGCAGAATTTGTAATTTTTTACAGAATGTGGTCACTGCGAACAGTTTGTCTTTGGTGAATCTGTAAACAAGGCGTGTAAAATAAAGGGATTTTGAAGAAATAATTACAATTTTAGGCTTAGATTAGGTTAATTTTCCTCAAAGAACACCACATCACACATGATTCAAGGACTGTTAGAAGGTTAGAAATGCAACGATTCCCTCCCAAGTTAGAATTAATTTCTGATAGCATTGCATCTATAGTGCTTAAATGCTGATGTAAAAGCATTTGTGGCAAATGTATGATTCTTGAGTATGAGTTTGAAGTTATTCTTGACTGTGCTTTAGGATACATCATGTTTTTACTGGATGCACTGATGCTGCAGAGCTGATGCTGGGCTGGAGGTGTGTCTCAAACCAAAGCAGCATGTCATCCACACATACCTCGCAGACCATAAACTTGAGGACAAAGCAGTGTTCTTTCATGGGTGACAGTGCACTCAATTAACCTGCTGTCCTAGTCTGAGATGTAGCTGTGACTCCTCCTTGTATTGGCTGTCAGCGGGCTGCTCTGATTGGTCGGTTGAGTTCATCGATCGGAGAGATGACTCTGGAATATGGATCAATAAACCTGACCATGTGGAACATACACATATTACAGCACTGAGCAAGGACAAATCATGACTTTGCAGAAATCCCTTAGTTGCATCATCAGATTATGTTACCGTCAGAATTACAGAGCAACATGTGTTCACATGGTCGTTCTTGGGAAACAAAATCATCTGAATGGATGCACAGACTCTGTTTTGATTTAGATGTTTTGAGTTGCAGAAGAAGAATCCAGTGTTGTGGGTGGGAGCAGGGTTTGCTGCACACTGTGGATGGCGATGCCCTTAAATCCCCTTTAACTCATGTGGAAAACTCCCACTTTGTTCTGCCGTTGCACAGATGCAGTCTCATCTCCAAGCCTAGCCAAGCCGAAGAAGCTCTCTGCAGCTTTTTGCTGCAGGCTATAACGTTTCACAACAACCTTCTTCTGTCCAAATATCATGTATATTGGAAACAACAGAAGAAAGTTATTGGATTTTTTTTTCCCGCGGCTGAAATTGGATGGTTGAGAAGGGTTTAGCTCCGGATTTTCTTTTACTGTCTCAGCTTCATCATTCATCACACTGAAATATTACTCATAGCTACATAAATGTACTATGAATGTGAAGTGAACTGCATTTATCTCCAAAGGTGGTGAAGGGAACTTCCTGTACGTGCACTCTGCTACTCAGAGGGAGGGCGACGTTGCCAAGGTGACCACCAGGAGTCCATTTCCTGCCAGCATCGGCCGGTGCCACCTGCGCTTCTGGTTCTTCATGCACGGCTCTGACAGGATGGGAACGCTGAAGGTGACCTGATATCAGCCACATTTCCATAAATGATTCAAAGTCTTTCTGTTCTTAAGGTTTTATCAGGCACCAATCCTCCAAGGATGTTTTTTTTACTGTCATTTACCATCAGATGATCCATCACAGTCAACCTGAAGGCTTCCTTTGGTTTTTTCAGAAACTTCTTTCCTGTTTTACTCACCCAATCACTGCATTACACTCTGCTTACTGTCAATCATCTGTTACCCACAGGAGGGAATGAAAGTCTCCCTGCCAGCAAATAATCCATCAAAGCATGTCACCTTACAAACTTGATTATCATATCCATCATTTCATGTCTTTTTTTAGGTCTCTTTATTCGCTGGGTTAATTTCAAAACAACAAACAGTAAGCCAAAAGCTAAAAAAAAAAAATCCCTAATTAGAGAGGAGCTACAAGGCTCAAAAATTTGTTGCAACTGAAGTGGATATAAACTAATTCAAGGGATGACAAAATAAACATTTTAATTGCAGAACTGAATAGAATTAATTATTTCTGCAACCATGCTTTATTACATGTTTATGCACACAGATGTACTTTAGATGGAACAATCACACAAGAATTGTGAACAAAACTGCTCAAAAAGTCAAAAATCATAATCTGTAACTATCCAAAAGGTTTAAAATTAGAGCATGGTTTGGTTCGTGTGGCGTGATGGGTAGAATGTGTATGTTTTGAAACAGGGTATGCATAAGTAATGCGTCTAAATACAATCTAAGTTATACATACACTACTTGGGTATTTTCATTTCGCGATGCTTGACTTTATACTTCTGCTCCACTGCAATTCGAATCTGCATTCATCTGGTTGCTTTAATTACTGGGTACTTTCCAGATAAAGATTTTACTTCCTAAATATGATCGACTCACAGATAATAACACCTTATGTGAAATTAAACTACCCAGCAATTTATGAAGTAGTTAATTACCAGTGATATTAGCGCCACCAAAACCAGCAACCACATTGAAAAGATGCAGTGACATGTAGAGGCATATAGCATGCACAAACAGCATCATGATAATTTTACACAAGTGCTGATCTAGATAATGAGTACTTTTGCTGTTGATACAGTCAGTACTTTTATATAATAACTAGCTCAGGAACAACTCAGAGGAAGGCAGGTAAAAGTCTGCTTGCAGTGTACTGAAAGACAAAATGGATCAGGCAACAAAAAAACAAGCTCCAGGTTATAAAGCAGAGGTCAAAATGAGAACAAAGAACATTATTAATGATTGGAAAGCTCAGGCAACGTGTACAGACCCAGTCTAGCAGGGAATCTAATGGTGGACTGTATACAAACAGTGACGCTTAAGTAACCTTTTTAATGCAGGACTTTTACTTCATGGAGTATTTTTACATTGTCGTACTGTTTTACTCAAGTAAAAGATGCAAATACTTCTTCCTCGTCTGATGGGGACATAAAAATCCTTGCATTTACAGCTATAGTGAGATGACGAACCCTAGTATGATAATATGCACCATAGTCTGCTGGAAAATGTTTAAAACGTTTAAAAAAACATGTAAAATGTATGATTTAAATGATGCAAAGTATAGCTATGTTGAACCAGCATGGTAAACTGTAACGTTAACACTCTTGGTCTGTCGAGAGTTCTTTTACGTTGTGGTTAAAATGTGTTTGTGTTTTCACTTTCAGACAAAAATAAATTGCATTCATAACAAAAAGCAGTCAAAAATATGAATTCACTACCGTGTCGCTCAATTTAGTGACATCATTTGAAGATGTCATTTTTTGTCACGTGAACTCGTCAGGTCTACACCGTTGGATCCAGCGGTACCCGTCTGCTGATGTGGGCAGCCACTGGAAACCATGGCAACCAGTGGACATACGCTAATGTCATCCTGTCCAACCCGGCACCTTTCAGAGTGACCTTCCAGGCGGAGGTGGGTGGAGACATGTGGACAGACATCGCCCTGGATGACATCTCCTTCACCGCAGATTGCATGGTTGGAGGTAGTTTCCATTCATTTTTTTTTTCTTTTCCACATTTCCTGCCCCTCCAGCACCATCCTCATTTTTCATTTCGTTTCCTCCAGTTTTCACCTTCTCCCATTTCCTTTCCTTTTTTTCCCCATACTTTCTGTCCTCCAACATCCGTGGTCTTCTCCTGAGTTTCCATATGACTTGTATGGACCCTCGGGGAGAGTGTAGTGAGCTAATGGAGCCTGTTGCCCTGTAGGTCCGTATAAATTCACTGTGGAGACGGGGTCAATGCCGAGGGACAGCACAGAGGGCTTTGGGGAGCAAAAGCAATTACATTTATATTGTTGCTGTTTCCTCGCCCCCACCTTCCAGCTCTGCCTTCACCCCTGAAGTGCTTCTTTGGTTGACTTTCTGAAGAAGCTTGTGGTCTTAAAAACACTTTTAGCATACTTGCCTGCTTTTTAACCAAACACACTCATCTCCAAACAATCCTCTGATGGTTTCTCAGTAAACCGTGTTAACTGTGTGTGACCTAAAATCAATAAAAATGAATTTAACATGTGTAACTATGTGCATGCATTTTTCTTTACCTCAGCACCAGTAACTCCACAGCCTCTGACCTGTGGTGCGGACCAGTTCCAGTGCTCGTACTCCTTTCAGTGCATCCCGAAGAGCTGGTGGTGTGACAGAGAGCCGGACTGCGCCGATCGGTCCGACGAGGAGCACTGCCCGACCTTGGTACCCGGAACTCTTCCTCCTCAAGACAGCTGCCCCACTGGGTATTTCCAGTGTTCGAACCTCCGCTGCCTCCCCTCCATACTGCGCTGCGACGGAGTCCTCGACTGCCCGGATGGAGAGGATGAGTACAGCTGCCGTAAGTTAGTTCATGTGTTTTTGTCATTAAGGATAGTTGCCTGGAAAAGTGCCTTGCAGTTCTGAGGAAAGAGTAAACATGTTCTGAGTTTCCCCCTGTTTAAACCACTTCACTTGAAGTAAATAGTACAAGCATGCGATCCATCAAGAGATAGATGCATTATCCTGCATGAAAGCTTGTCGGCGACCGGGCTAAATAATTCAAAAATTCAACACCATCATCTCTTTCCAAAAGCATAATGGTTACTTGCGGATAATCCACAGACCTCGTGGTGAACTGCTCTCACTGGAACTATTTTCCACTGGAGAAGTAGTCACTATAAAAACTGTTGACAGCATGTGATGTTGATTATCCAGAGCAGCAGTGGCACTGTTTCCGAAAAGAGAGACATAGCTGCTGTTTTTTGTTGGTTTTTTTAAAAGTACAGGGGTGGAAGCAGTAATCTCAGATATTAAACTCTAGCTGCATGAGTGCTTGAAGATTGGTTGACTTGCTGGTTTGTGTCCTTGTATTTGAAACCAACCACATTTACTCCACGTTCTCCACCGTTTCCTATTGTCTCTGTCAGCTGTGTTAGATTTCTTCACTCTCTTCATGTTTTTTTGTTTTTTTAATCTTTTACATCTGCTCTTAATCACAGCAGTTAAAAATATGACAACTGCACTGCTGTACTTATTTTGTGTGTTACATTTATTTTCACTTTAGTCGGTCTTTGTTGTTTTAAAATGAGCTCCTTAAATAAACTCGATGTTGCTGTGTCCTTGATTGAAAGCAGCAGGTCTGTGGTGCCTGGCAGTAAGATGATTTTTCTAAGCAGCATGGAGGCAAACGCTGAACTTGTTTGAATTTTGGTGCAACAACTTGCACAATGTTTCCTTACGAAACTCTAAACATGACATGAGTAATGTGCAGGAGGAAAATTGAAGGAGTAAACACAAGATTATCTCACAGATTACGGATAAAAAAAGAGGCAGCATTGATGTTTTGCTCATCGGCGCTCACCCTGCTTCATCCTTCCTCGTTTCTCCACCAGCTCTGCTGCAGTGTGAGCTGGGAGAACTGGTGTGTGAAAACTCTCCTGGTTGCATCCCCCCTCAGAAGCGTTGCGATCACTCTGCCGACTGCCTGCCTTTCCACTCAGATGAATCCAGCTGCGATGGTAACATGCTTTTACTTACCTCACTGAAACTGTAAAGTGTGATTGCTTCTACCACCAAAGCACCAAGTCTGTTTGTGCCTTTCACCTTTGATCATGTGTTTCTTCATAAAGTCTCCACTTCCATTACTGACTGCATGCTTTGATTGAGCTTCTTTAAAAGCGTTGACGTCAAGCATGGTGGCATTTAGTTCAAATAGGGTGTTGCATCACAAAAAAAACATCCTTTAATCTAAATCACACATTTTCTTCCTTTTATCCGTTTGTTTAGAAAAAAAAATAGATTTTTTAAATAGGTAACTTTTACATTTAATTGACCACATTTCTATGTTCTTCTCTCTACATCATGCTCTCATGAGTCACCAGTCAGTTTTGACTCAAGTGTTGCCAAAGCTTCACTCATATGTGCCCATTTCCTGTCTTAACCAGCGACTCTCTGGACATTTTCAGGTCTGGCTGTTTAGTCTTCAAAGCACACCTCACAGGTTACAGTAAGCTGCCAGAATCCCAGCCATATAAACCTCTGCTTTCCCGCATTTTCAGGAACAAGACCAAACCTCCCATTTAGCCTGCATTTCACTGCCAAGCCATAGTCACTTTATCAAGGTCGGAACAGATCTTCAGGCTTTCATAATGGAGTTTCAAACATGATGATTATTTAACCCTCATAACCCTCAACTAACCTATGACGGCGACAGCACTCATCATCAGGTGGATTGTGTGGAAGAAAGAAGGTTTAATCAGCAGTACGGTGCAGAATATGTAGGTAGATGCATAGATTGTTATCCGTGCAGGACTATCTTCAAATTCATTCTGCGGTTTGATAACAAGCCTAAACGTGCAACCAGAGACATAAAGAACAAGGAGTCCTCCTGCAACAGATGGTTTGGCCCCTACAGAGCCCTGATCTCAAAACCGTGGAGTCAGTCTGAGGTTACATGAAGACACTGAGACATCAAGAGTCAAGTTTTTCAGAATGTTCAGAACAACCTACTTTCCGAGTACCCTGAAAAACTGAGTGTACCTAGGAGAACCTGCACTTTTTATGACATAGCTTTACTTTTGAAAGCATCCTCATTTTATTTAGTGCCCTAAAACTCTTTCACAGCGCTCCACATGCTCTCTGTAGAGGTTAATGGAAGACACTCAACAGTGCACTGTTTGCCCCAACAACGTACTGCATCTGCTCCCTGTCAGGTGGAGAGAAAAATGCTAATGATAGAGGGAACAAGAGAGAGGAACAAGCATTTAAAGTTATCATTTAGGTGTATGTTTTATATGATATTTGATGATTTCTTTTGCTTCATTTGCAGATTGTCCTCCAATGTATTGCCAGGATCACGGCTCATGCGTTGTGGAGGAACACGGTCCTGTTTGCATGTAGGTGGAAGTTCACCCAAACAAACACGCATTTATAAGCCGCACTCAGCCACATACATAAGCATACACAAACAAAGATAGGTATCATGTCTGCCCTCTCTCTTCTCCTCCTCCCACCCTTTATCTCTCTTTGAGGGATTTAAAACATGGAAATCCCATCAGTCTTGTTTCTTGCCATGGAAAAGACACGCTCCGCGAAGCATGTGGGAATCTGCTTATCCCCTGCAGATTAAACAGGGGTCCTGCCTTCATTTATCCACCAGCATAGTGTTTCCTGGGAATCTCTGATGGATTCTCCTGGTCAATATTTAAACGGCGTCTCCACTACCAGTGGTCTTAGCGGGTAGACCACAGAAAACTCATTCGTTTATTCATTTATTCAAGACAGACACTACGCTCACTCTGCTGGAAATTTTATATGAAGCTCATGAATCTGCATCATCAGCTGGGAATGTCTACAGAGAAGTATTTTTCATTATAAAAGTAAGAATGCAATTATAACACTTGTTGCTGGATCTGCTAACATCATTCTGCACCAGTGAATCCTTCCTGAAAGATGCACATTTCTCCATTGTTGTGCGAGAAGATTCAGCTTTTCAAAAAAAAAGGATGTGAATAGTGCAGAAGATACGTGTTCTCTAAATCACACAGTTAACTGCACAATGTGTCAACAATGCAATCAGTGTCTCATTGTTGTAAATGGAACACATCAGGCTTCATCCTACGTATCTGCTCTGTAAATCACTTGTCCTGTGTGCTCCTGAGGAAAGAAAAAATAGAAGCCACAGTTTTGAGGCCATTTGTTTTCTGTAGAGTTGATCAAATCGCCTTATTTTAACCACATTTGCCTTAAGGTGTAACATCATCGCTGTATCATAGGAAGATGGTTTCATAGATTAACTGCTGCACAACCTAAAAACCACAGACTGACATTTCTAATCTAACTTAAAACACGGACACACATCTTGTCCTGCATCTTAGCCTTTTTTCTATAAGCCGCCAAACCGACAAAAAGTGCGCTGATGATGTCAGTTTTCAGCCTAGATAGCACATGCGGAATATAAACTAGTACCTGCAGAAGTTCTTTTAGATGCCGGTGTGGTCTTCACTATCCAATACCACTCAGAGCAAGCTGTCTGCCAAAGACATGTCGACAGCATGTCTCTAATTTATCTGCCGGAGCTCAGCCTGCCAGCTGCTGTCAATCAAGCACAGATACCAACACACCTCTCCAGCCACCGGAGAGCAAAGAGGGCATTCCTTATATTTCCCCAGAGAGCCGTTTCTTCCTTTAATGATATAAAACTGTTGACATAAAATTATTTTTGACTGCTTTTTGTCACAGAGATGCGGCCCTTCCCTCATGCCCTCATTCTCTCATTCTTATGTGTGATTCCCCTTCCTATTCATCCCCCTGTCCAACATTCCCCATTGCAGCGCCGCCACCACCGCTGCCTCCTCTCATTATGTAACAGGACTTTACCACCGTCATTCACTGCTCAGTGTGGTATGGAGCTCTGGTAGCTGTTCCAGCATTGATAACAGCCTCGAGGCCAGCACTGGGAGGGCACCTCTGGCTCTGTATTTGCGTCACGTTCCTCCACTCTGCTGAGCAGGGTCCACCGGGGAACCGGGCCAGGAACAGCCCACTGCCACGGCTGGACCGTAACACAAAATGCACGCTGACCCCCTCTGAATGATAATGACGCAGTCTGGCTTCGCTGAGAGCTGTGTGTTTCGCATTAGAAGGTCAATGTAGCTCAGAAATCAAGCTGATACTGAACAGATGTTGACTTGGAGTAGAGTTTGGGAGAAGAGGAAGTCGCTTTCCCAGAGATGCAGCTCAACAAACCAGCCAAACTATTTGTAAATTGCTCTGTATTTCCATGCTGGATTACTGCTAGATAAACCTTCAACCATTTGCCAAGATGGAAACGGTGTGCACATGTTTGATAGAGATCATGCTCTAAAGGTTATTTCGCTTTATCTTGGTGTTTTACATTCATTTTGTTTTTTTATAAAGCATCACCATAAGGTGTTTTCTATATTTTTCTTGCTCCATGAAAAACAAAATGTTGCAGTCACTAAAAGGGGTCACAAATGTAGAGTTTGTTGTGGTTTTAAAGACTCTGTAATTTCCAAAAACAGGTGGATGAACATTACTGTTAAAATTTTCATCAGGTGTTTCTTAAACTGGAATAAATAGTGCATTTGTGGAGGACTATTTTCAAGTGTGGATTAATCTAAATTTTATGCTCTTGTGAATATTTCTGACAGTCTTTGAGACTGACTCGAGATAAACTACACTATCTGTGGTTAATTGGTGTGGTTTTTTAATAGTTTTTGGACAAAAATGAAGCTTAAAGTGGCACAGAGGAATAAGACCAGGGGCCTGCTTCTTAAAGCAAGAGTACCAGATAAACATGGCTTATATCAGGCACTGCTTTTAGGTTTTTTCAAGTTGATAAAGTAAATTAAACATAGCTCAGTTACTGTCAGGATAAGCCTGGGTTGTTGCTCAACAGAGTTCCTTACAGACAGGAAAGCTAAGATGTTACCACAGAGTGTCTTGTGTGTTGCCATATTATTTGCCTTTATTACCTGCCATCAGTCAAAAAAAAATGTACGTTTACAGAAAATCAACTCACAAGATTGATTGCATGAGCTGGATCTGATCCTTATGGAACTGCTTTAATTTAGGTTCATTCAAGTCAGGTGTTAGACTTTAAGTGCCTCTTTTCTTCCTGTGCTTTAAGAAACAGGCCCCAGATGCACCAGATGTATGCTTGTTAGACCTCTGTAAGTCCATGTTGCCATCTTTTGACTGTTTTTTTTTACAGGTGTAATCCAGGCTGGACCGGAAACCGTTGCCACGTGAGGGAGAAACCTCCCCTCTCCACCTCATCACCCACACCAGAGGACACGGCGCTAGGTAATCAAGAAACACACCTCCCCACTCACCTCCCTTAAACCAAACTTAATTACCGTATCCTTGCATACCCTGCTAATGTCTCAGCAGTTCAAGTGAGAATTAAATGCCTCCTTCCTGTTTAGATGCCGTGTACGCTGGCATCGGCATCGGGTTGGGGCTGCTCATACTTGGAGTGGCTGTGTGTTTTCTGGCTTTATTCAAGAACAAATGCTTCCTAAAGTGAGTTTTCTCTGCAATATTAATGTCCAGGTTACTCATTTTTCTGATGATGATGTTGTTCACGATGAAGGTGATGATGTTTGTTGGCTCCACAGAAAGCTTTACCCGATGGACTACGGGGTGATGGATAACCCAGCCTTTGACTGGAGAGCAGAGGTCAGCACACAGAAATGTCCAATCAATCATCAGGGAATTCATTTTGAGTAACATTCGGTTTCCGAGCTAAACAAATCTCATTTTTCTACCATTCGACTCACATTTATTCAATTATTGGATTTAACATAAGAGGAGGTCAGAAGGTGATTGCCGAGCCTCTCTGCTAAATTAGATTTTTGATTTAAGATTATTGATTTTGCACTTAATGCACGCCTCTGCAAGTTTGTGTCTTTGAGTGTCATGTATACACACTGCGGCGCGTGTACAGCCGTATACAAGCAGCTAATCTGATCAAATACAACAGCACAAAGCTACGAAGCCAAAAATAACCAGTTTAATCAACCGTCTTTCTGCCGCTGCCCGAACAAAAAGGTCACATGATGAGAGGCTGAACACCAGATTGCGTTACGTCGCACAGGTGCTCCTATTATTTCCGCCCACTGTGCGCTTCGTCTCCTGCGATCTCCGCATTTATTCCTGATATCAGGGAGAAAGATCCCAGCACAGGTGACGATACAGTCACAGCTCTTCCATTTGGTTAATGGCTGTTGTGTGTGTGCATTCATGAGTGTGTTTCCAAAAAAAAAAAAAAGGCAAAATGAGTGAGGTGTATGTCTGAGCACATGTTTTTATCTCCATGGGCGTATCATCGAGTAACAAACGTGAGAGAGATGCGGAGAGCCACGACCGTCACGACTCCGATGAGGGAAATTATCGCAGATTTCATGGTGCAATGTGTGTATGTGTGTGTTTTGTACAGATGAAATGTTGACATATGACATTGCACATGTTCTTTTACAAAAGCAAACACCAAACCTTTATGTTTTATTTATGCCAACAATCGAAAACAGACCATGTTTCTGTGATGTAATGCACACACACGGAGCGTTTAAATGCATTCCAGTATATCCTATATCTGTTTTGGCACGTCTCTACATGTTTGCTTTCATGCGGCTGCCACTGCTATAAATACAGAGCTGTAGGTGTGAACCGATGTCTCCATGACACAGACAGATCTGCTCCGACGCTTGCTTTGCAGATGAGTGGAAGCGGTCTGTGATTATTCCACCTCCAGATGATGAAATGCTTTATGGAGGTTAGAGGTGTAATTATGGACGCATAACAGGTCAAACTGATTTTAATTGCGCTTGCATTTCACACACTTTCACACATTAAGGCGCATCTAATTTTAAACCCGAGTACATGATTTTTTTTTCCCCTCAGCGCCCGTCCCTGGATGAAAGGTCGGGCGGTTGTCCCGGCTGTAACCCCAGCCGGAGTGATGGTCGTGGGCTTTCCATCAGCGTCTACCCGTGGAGGAGGGAGGTGGAGGTGAGGTGTCTGAGCTCGACCTGCTGGCCTTTACTCTAATTATCTGTGCAGAAGTCAGTGACGTGATGTATGTCTCTTTGTGTGTATTCGTCCACAGCAGGGTTCGAACTGGAAAGACGCCAAGCTGTCCTTCTCCAACCCATTGTACAATTACCCCCCCGATGCTAATGGTGCTGACTGCACAAGCTCTGAAGCATAAAAACAATGGACATTATCTAAGATTTTGGCAATTTGCCTTTGTTTAGACAGCGCAGTATAGACAGACATGAAACATGCGGAAAGAGAGCAGGGGAATGATAAGTTTGTAAAGGTCTGGCTGGTTGGGAGTCGAACTGTAGACTCAGCTTCTGAGAGCATTTTAGCCCATTTGGTACGACTGTAACCATTCAGCCATCAGGTTGCCTAGATGTGCTTTATGTGTTGACGCTGCAATCAATCTGGGTTAAATGATGTCTTGACCTGCTGAGGTGCCAGTTTGGATGGAAAATGTAAAGTATGAGGTTCAGATGTTTTGCAAGAAGCATTTCAGCGTCAGGTCTGAGGGTAGCAAAAATGTTTTAATTGACTTGGTGTGATATTTTGATCTGGTGCTGACGTGTTAAAGCTGTTTATCGAGGCTGCAGAAGAGCCCGTGATCATTGAATCCAAGTTTTATGAAAAAATACCAATAAATTAAGGATAAAAACGCTCAAATGTTCCGTGTGGAACTTTTCAGAACCACTGGATGTCACTAGGGCACCAACACCTAAGACCAAAACGAATGTCGGCCACATGTCCTACCTCTTTTTTAAGTTTCATTTACAACCAGAAAGGAAACAAACAAAAAAGAATCCAGAAACAACCCGTGGACCAGGTCTGCTCCACCCTGATGGACCATGGAAAACAGACAGAAAGAGTGGAATGGAATGAATACAAGCCTCAAAACAGCAGTCGTGACTCTCATGCACTTCAAGGTGTTTTTAGATGCAAGAGATCACACTGCTTCCCAACAAGAGATGCTTGATGGCCTCACAAGTTTGCAGCGTGCGATTGATGATGGACGGCATCACCCCTTTAAACACAGGATTCATCCCTTTACGACGGTGCAAACATTGGCAGCACCTGATTAGACGACGCTTCACTCAGAAACTACTTGCTTCTGGATTTTAAATTAACATGGTGGTTGCTTAAACACTTTGCTTTTTATTGCAAGTTCCTAAATCTGTCTTTATTTTAGATCAACAATGGTTCATTGAAAAGTTTTTCTGAAGTTTCTTGCAGCATCGGATCACACTCAACACTCGTCATTTGCTCGCTGGGATCTCAACTTTTTGCCATCGAGTACGAGACAACCCAACACCCTGTCTTTCAGACGCAAGGCAACAAGCTACCAGAATGCAATGCAAGGTAATAAATGGGAAGCATTGAAGTGAAGGATCCAGTGGACATGAACCTTTACAGTTAAAACGAATGCACACGAATTAGGTAAATAAGATGATTAAATACTTTATCTTTTGGGGCACCACTTGAATGCTGGAGGAGGTACTTACATGCACTAACATGCATGTGTGGCTGGACTAGCTGCTATCGGATTAAAACGCACACAGAGGCAGTGTGACTGTTTATGTTGGAAATCTCAGATATTGTGTCTTTAAAACGATGAACAGCACTGCACATTTAACTACAGGAGCTTTTCCTTGTGCAACACTGTGCTGCTTTCCTGATGAAACTTCGGTACGAGGATCAATACCACTCTCATACTTGTCCGGTAAATATAAGCTCAAGATAGTAAGCTTGGTAAGATTCAAGACTGGAAACAGGAGAAACTGCTAGACTGTAACAGAATCTGGCTACTATTACCTCTAAAACTCATTAAATAACATATTATATCTTATTTAATATGCACAAAAGATTAAAAATGTCAAGTTGCAGTTTTATGGGTTGTGTTTCTTAGCCAAGAGCAGTAACCTCCTGAATCTATACGGTGGCTTTCTGCTGGCTGTAGCTTCATATTTACTGCACTGATATAAGTGTGGCATCGATCGTCTCCCTAAATTCTTGGCAAGACAGCGAAAGAGTGTAGTGCAATAAATGCTGATCTGTTCCTTTAAATTATGTCAAGACTGCAGAAGACCTCCTAAAAAAAGAAAAAAAAAAAGGTCAAATGTCATTAGGGCATTAGAACAATTGAAGAAATAACATTTTGGAGGCTTAATGCAGCCATTGTAGCGGCGCATTAACCAAGCGCTACAAGAGTCTCACTTTTAGAAACGGTTGTGGGTGTCTTGTGAATGGTGATTAAAGGTTTTTCTTCAGCGCTGGCAAAAGCAGAAAACATCCAGTTCGCCGAATTGAAATGCTCCGCTGAACACACAGAGCCTCCAAATAGAGTCCTGACTTCATTAGTGATCCACTTTAATCCTCACAAGTGCAAATAAAATAGTTTGCCCCTGTTTTATTTGCAAATTAAAATCCATTACAAGTTGGCGTCCTTCAGTTGCCATGTGTGTGGCATGAACCGGGTCTCTCTGTGCATCAAGCTGCACGCGGCAGATGGATCGTAAACAGCACAGTTAAACCTATCTGTTATAAATTTCACGAGTGTTCAGTTATGGCTCTTTTTAGGTGTGCTGTTATAAATAGTTTTCTCATATTTGACAGTCAGCGGGATGATTTACAAGATCAGACCGCGTACTGTACAGCAGGTACGCTAAACAGAGCATGTAGGCAGCTTCTTTCACTATCAGCCTGTCATTTCTCTCTTGCAAAAAGATGCGATAAGATACCACACTTGTATCGGTATAAATTTGCTGCTACCTGCCAGTTATTTCACTATGGCTCACTTTAATAAATGCATTATATATACTTACTGTTTAATCTGCACAAAAGATGCAAAAACTGTGATTTATGCTGATCCTAGCTTCATATTTGCTTTATAGGAACAGAAGTGGTACCAATATTCTCTTTAAACTTTATAAACCGTAATCATAATATTTTCATTTCAAATGTTAAGTAATCCCAGTGCTTTACTTTTTCAATATGTCTTCTTTCTTACACTATCATGGCGACAGACTTGTTAAACATTAACGGGACAAAAACATTGATTTCTTTCAAGCCTTTTTTTAAATATGGTGGTACTTTGGCTTTTATCAAGAGTTGGACCAGTGATGCTCACTCCTAAAGCCGCTGCAGTCTCCATCCCATTTATAATAAATGTCAGGTAAATGTGTTGGTTGCATCCCATGAGTGCTCTGAGCCGTTGCACTTAGTCAAAACCCATCAGGACACACTCCCACCTCTTCATATTGGTGCACCTTATGAATCTTTAATTTTCAGACTTTGACCACAACCTCCGGTGTCATTGCTGTTTAAGCTCGTTCTCCATCACTGTAGGGTCTTTGCAGAGTCTGCAGCTGGATTCTGGGTCAGAGATTTATCAGAGGGCCACAGGATCAATTTTCAGCCTTAGAGCTGCTCCTCTCTTTTATTGTTTGTGCCCTCGCCTTCCTCTGGCTCGCTGCCTTTTGTCTGGTGCTGGACTCTGCCCTTCAAAGCCACAGAGCAGTAACTACATATTTGCTCTAAACTCAGTTAAGACTGGACTTTGTTTTCCATCAGTTTGACCAAACAAACAATGTTAAGCCATAAAAATGTGGAATTTCTCTTAAAAGAGCAAGTAAAGTGGTCACAGAGAGTGGCATTTGTTTAAATGAGCCATTGGGTTAATTTATAACAAATTATATATTATACGTATATCTATTTGCATTCTTTAATTTGCAGTTGTGCACCAGTTTTAGTCAACACAGATGTAAAATTAACTCTAAGTCACAGTTTTCAGTTACACCATTGACTCTGCCTTTGAAGACGAGGACCAACTTAAGTCCATTCAGCTTGTTTAATTAAAATAAATTAAAATATCACCTCAAATGTCGTTTAATTAAGCAATATCCCATTTTATGTGCAAATTGTACAATGATACATTAAAATGCCTCTAAGAATCTTGGTCAATCTTCATATTTGTTTTTATTAATCATTAGTTTCATAAACATAAACATTAATAATAATGTCAGCTTTACACCGACTCCTGTCTCCCACTGCGAATCACCAAAAACACCAGCTCAGCCTTTTCACAGCCTCTCCATCGGTGTTTGTTTGTTTCAACCCACTGACATTTGACCTAACAAAACAACAATCGATGCCCTGCACAAAAACCTTTCCCCGCTAACGCGCCGCCACACGCGCACGCAAACAATGCCGCCTTCCACTTGCCTCGCCTGGCTCGCACGCTCTCATATGACGGCCTGCTGACTGAGAATGTGCAGCTATCAATGTTTTTTGTCCCGGCCCAACATCTCTCTGGTAGCTTCGTTATTCGTGCCGCTGAATAGCACAGAGGATAGGTGCTCCACGCCGCCAGCCTTTGTCCTTGTGTTGCTGGTGAAGCAACGTTAGTCAGCTTTTCTCACCGGAGCTTTTGTTGTCACAGTTTTGCTAATCACCGAGCAGAGTCCATCGATAGGTCACTGTTTTGTTTTTGTACCTCTCAGCTCCGAGAGGCCCCCCCCCATAATGAAAGCTCTCCTGTAGCCATGACAGCCTTGAGGGGCTCCTTCTGTCAAAATAACAGTTGACTCTTGCATGATTTGCATAACTATTCAGCCATTTCTGAGTCCTCTCATCCCGGCCTGTCAGCCTGCTATCACAGCAGTCAGCCCAATTTCCTCTGATGCTGCAGCTGGGGGACTGAGGGTTACCCAGCCAGACCCGGCAGGTCAAGGTGAAATTTACCCCCTCTGCTTAAAATGAAAGCTCAGAATTGGATCTCTCTTCCTCTCTGGCTGAGTGCAGAGGAAAATGTCTGTTTCTTCCCTCTGTATTCGGTCAGAGTGGATGGCGGTCAGCCCGGGAGGCCGTTCTCTGACCGTTTGTCACTGAATTTCCAAACCCCCCCTCCGGGTCCCTTGACAGAGGAGCTTAGGAGAGAGGACACCGCTGGGTCGCTTCTGATTGGATCGCTTGTGGGGTTTTTTTGGGGGGCTGTAAAGCAGTTTTATCTACATCTTAACCGCCTCCTGTGTTGTACACTAAAAGTTCATTATGACTCGAAAGATACTGAGGCTGCTTTATGCGCCTCGTACAACCAATTACACCCTATTCTGACGTGCCGTAAATATTGACCTGTCCCATGCTCCGCTGCATCCCCTCATTGTCTGCCGACGCTTGATTACGTTTCTGAACAGAAGACAGAGAAGTCAATATATCATCAAATGTTGCTAAATTAATGAGATTTTTTTTTAAGTTTATTGTATATTGTTTGCTGCATGAGATACACAAACAGGGTCTTGTAGAATGATTGAGTGGAGAAAAATGGCCTCTGCAAGACAGTTTATTCTACTGTGGACTGGATGTACAATAAATTACCCACGAGAGAATGATCAATATACGGCCACCGGTTGCTTACCAATGCAGGCTGAGCAGTTTTCCCGTGGGGGAGGATTTTTTTCAGAGCTGCTGGAGAAGGCGTCGTGCTATATTGTTGTGTAAACTCGGCATTGTAATGCTCCTTCATCCATGTCGTCCGTCCTCTGCTCAGGCTTGTTATTGACCACATGCTTCTGTTTGACCAGAATTATTCAGTGAGGATTTAAAACAATTCAGTGAGGAGACAGTGAGCAGTGTGTACTAAACTTGCGTACCGAGACTTCACTTTATAAAGATAGAAGACGGAGCCTCCTTTCATAACAAAACACGATGAAAGGATCACAAAAACATTTAAACCTATGATTTTTGGTCATTGGGGGCAGCACACAAACTATCATCTTATGACAAACTGAGTCATTTACACACTCATGTAGATGGGGCAACATTTTTATTAATCTTCCTGGCTGTCCAGTAAATGTAAGTTGAATATTCACTCTTATTTTAGCTCTGTTTTGGTCTCCACCACCTCCTAAGAGAAATATCTGACTGTTTAGCTGTATTATAGCTGTTTAGCTCATTTTTCTGTTGGGTAAAGCAGGATTTTAGAGCTTTTTTTCCTGCTCGACGTGGTCAAAAACAGCACTAAAGAGCAACTTCATGTGTATTTTAAACTGTGTCTGTGCCGCAGGTGAGGCTTTCCTTCTGATTCTTATGATTATGAATTTCCTGTTATGCCGTTCCACCAAGTTTCCACTCAGCTCAATGATTGCGAGCTTTCATGTCGTGGTAATACTGCAGCGGGACGGAAAAGGTAATAATGAGCAATGCTCGAATGGAAAGACCAAAACAGAGCGGAGCTTGTTCTCCTCTGAGTGTTTCGGTGTCAGACTGCCACACGGCCTCTTTGTTCTCTGTTTATTAAGTGGCCAAGCATCATAAATGCCGCGGTGACACGATGCCCTGCAACTCAACAAGTGGGACCCAACTCTAAGCATAAAACACTCGCTGGAAAATTATCACTTGCCACCACCCTCAGACCTAAAAGCCTTGATGTCGCTGGAAGCCTTCCATTTCATTTCATTAATTTTGTGACAGACGTTTTGATGCTCTTTAAGGTCTCCCAGGGGAGGCCGAGCGCGGTGTGGTCTGCTGCCAAGAGAAAAGTTCATGGCATCTGCGACGGATCCTGCTTTATGTCGCGTTGGAAGGAGTCGGCGAAAGAAAGGCTTAGAGAGATACAGAAAAAGAGGATGCTTTGGGAGATTCTCAGAGTGGTCATCTGAGGACTAGCCTGGCTTCTTTCTGCTTCCGTTGTGGAACAAGGTGATTAGAGCAGCAGACGAGCTGCAGGGAGAGCTGTAGCCGCCGTGTCTGGGCCACTGCGATGATTTTGAACTGCTGGGGTAGAGCTGCAGAGAGCGACGGGCCTCCGAAGCTAAATCACACACCGCATCCTCAAACTGGACTGCATCTGATTGAGAAACATTTTATGGCTTAAATGGCTGCACTGCACATGTCAGCAGTAATCTCCTTTTATGAGAGAATTCATCACCAAGTTGTGTATTTCTATCTGGGTGGGATTGTTTGTTTGCTCTGCAGACGTTTGATATACGCCGCCGTGGCTGCGCATGAGGTGCGCGTCCATCCAACCACGTCGACAGCAATTGGGATTTATGTGCAGACGGGAATGTGACACAATTGCGGACAGACGCCGTCAGCAGATATTTATTCGAGTCTTATGATCATTACTATGTCACCCGGAGATATTTTAGAGGGAAGTGAAAAAACAGAGACGTCAAAACAGCTGTTTGCTCACTTCCTCTGCTTCTCAATTGTGGGCTTTCATCATTTTCACACGTCCCTAAACGCCTCATCCACAAAACTAAAATATTCAGACAAATATCAGACTTAACAGCCTTTGGGGTCTTTAAGCAATTTAGCAATCAGTTGACAAATAGTCCATTTCCACATCTTTTGTTAGATACCTAGATGTATTTTTGTATTCAGGTTTTTAAATCTTTACCACAAAATTAGACAATGTTCATTTCTGTGTATGAATGGATACACAAAAGTGTCCAAGGACATGAAAACCCCGATGATGAGGCATTCGCAGCCCCTCTTGTCTAGCTTTGGATCTACAGTCGTCACAATGCTTTGTGGGAGCTGCTGACTGGAAACACATATTTTCTTTTCCCATCAGTAGCTTACCACCATTAACAGTGTGCGGAATTAGCTATTTGCAGTTCCTCTTTGAGGTGTACCCACAAATGTACAGACGAGTCAATGGTTTACATTGATGACGAAGAAATATTCTCACGTACGTTCTGAAGCATCTTTCATACTTGAGATTTATGGACATTTAGTCTAATCGCTGTTTCAGACTCACAGGATTAGAGAAGGAGCAGAGGAACAGATGTTAATATTAGATGTTTCTTATGTAGTTTGTTTTTTTTAAGTTACTATTGATAGAAAACGCAAGATAAAACCCGAACTGATATTCCACAGAGAAATTCCTTCATCGTTTTTCAGAGTTTCTTTCATCGTCGCTGACACTTTACTGGCACCAAGCAGCATTTATTTAGTACTCTAATAAATCCCCACCCTGCATTTGCTGCACCCACTTTGTTGGCAGTCACCGCTCTGTAAAGATAAAGGAACAGATGAATTTGAGATGCCGGTGAGGATAATCACGGTAATGACTAATAACTGATGAAGTTAATTGCTAATTATTGATCTGGTTTCGTTTAGGAGCACCGTGAGACGTTCACAAAACGTTTGTGCCCACAGATTCGGACGACATTCATTATCTTTTTCCACTAAAATCCATTTAGCACAGGAAAGCTATACTTTGAATGTTCAAAATGCTTATACCAGCCAAGTACATTCTAAAAGGGGTCCTTTATGCGAGAGTTTCTTCTCTATATTAGGCTTTTCCATGACTGTGGTGCAGCTCCCGAATTCCCACAGCGACGGTCTTAATTGGAACAAGCATGTGGTCCAAGTTATCCTTCCTGAGCAAAACGAGTGCCAACTAAGCAATGAGGAAGAAAAAAGTACGGCGAGGCGTCCCGGGCGCAGAGAGAGTGAGAGAGCTGCCTCGGAAAGAAGAAAAGAAATGTTCCCTCACGTGAGAGGTTTCCAAGTTTCTGGCCTTCAATGTCTGGCTGCTTCAGAGAAAAGTGAAAACACACAGCCAGGGAAAGGGGAACTTCATCATACGCTGTCTGGTCGTACACGTCTGGTTTCAAGTTCATGATTTTGTTACAATGAAAGTACTTAATGATTTATATCCATCCATTAACCCAGATCTTGTGTTTGGGGTGCTGGAGACCTGGCGGTTTCTTTAACAGCTCACATGACTTTAATGGCTTCATGCTTCCATAGTGTTTTATGAAGACGGCTTGTAGACTGAGCCCATGTGTTTGATGTGGATTTTCAAATGTTCTATACCTGTGATTGGCATTGATGATAGGTTTTTTGCTGTTTTAACAGTTTGTTCATCAGAGACGTCTTCAGAATCCAAGTGACGCCTGATGTAAGTAACATGTGAGATAACTGAATGTCTGCAAACTTTAATGTAAACGGGTGACAAATTAAAGGAAAAGCCAACCTGAAGCATCTCAGTTAAGTGTTTTGCCACCAGAACAGCTTCAGTGCACCTCGATTCTCCAAGTCTAATGGAGCGATTGAGTGCTATTCTTCCAACAGATAAACCCTTATTTGATGTTCTGATGATTGTGATTGCAAACAGTGACCAGCATGTTGGTCCAAAATGTCAAAAAGCTGTTCGGTTGGGTTGAGATCTGGTGACTGTGAAGGCCAGAGCAGGTGAGCCACAACGCACTCAGTGACCTGAATGGAACTGGAAGACACCAGATCAGTCAGAATCGAAATGTTTCATCAAAATTCACAGGTAATCAAGCAGAACAAGTCTGTGTTGACTAGCAGTGTCCCGAGCCAGCAAAAAAAAAAACCCAGAGCATAACCGATCTGCTCAAGCCAATGGTTCAGGGTTTTCCTTTAATTTGTCACCAGGCTGTGTGTGTTTGTGAACATAATTCACCAGTTTGACTGTTTTCCCACATTTTGTGGTGTCGGAAAAGAAGAAAAATGTGTATTTACATGTATTTTCACTTTAGAGAAGCAATGTAAAGTCAAGTCAATGTCAACAAAACACAAGGGTTAACGTCATGACACTTTTCACCTGAAGAGGGCGCTCTCACTGTTCACCTGACTGTTCAGCAAAGGTGAGAGAAGGGGCTTAAGTATACAAATCTTTATTTTAATGCACTAACAGGAGATTTTAAATCGTCTCTAACTGAGCCAAAACTTAAAAACAGCACCATACTTTAACTCTAAATAGCCCCTATAGGCTACAACTTGTATATCTGTTTTAAATACTCTGTTCATAAAAACCCTCCACAGTGAACGAGTCTCTTTTGTCTTCTGGCAAACAATCAGCAGCTCCTGAAGCTCCAAAAGCCTCTGAGCTCCCAACATCTTCCCACATCACTGCGAAGCTGCTTGTCAGACAAGGTGCAGAAAATATCCCAAGGCAACAAAAACTCCCCCCCTCCAAAAAAAACCTGACTGTCCTCGGCAGCTTTGTGTGTGTGTGTGTGTGTGTGTGTGTGTGTGTGTTTCCTCCTCCTGGTTCTCCTGCACACGCGGAGCATCAAACAGAGGAGTCATTGGCTCTGAGGAGTTGATGACGGGAGGGGAGCGCACTGTCTTCTCCAGGAGCGCATTCGCCTCCTCTCTCACACGCACTCTGCACCTCCGTCCAGTGGGATGAGAAGCACAGTGTGGGACTGAGATGCTGTGAACTTTTGTCTTTTTC